AGTCAATGTTTCGGGTTCAGTAGTGACCCTTCTTCAGAACACAGACGTTGCCAGACCTGCTGAGCTTTTCCAGCAACTTTGTTTTTGTTCCTTTAGCACAGCCTGCCATTACACACTACCTATTGTTAGTCACTATGTGCTAATTAGGAACAAAAACAAAGTTGCTGGAAAAGCTCAGCAGGTCTGGCAGTATCTGTGAAGGAAAAATCAGTTAACGTTTCGGGTCCAGTGACCCTTCCTCAGAACGCACGGTTCTGATTTTTGTTCCTGATTTACAGCATCTTTCGGTTTTTATTAATGCCTAACAAGGCCTGGTATGTGGGGTAGGGGGGCTAGGAGATGGGAAAGTTTCGGCCCTAAAATAATTGAACTTGAACTTCATATTGAGTCCAGAGGGCTGCGGAGTCCCCAAGCAGAAAGTGAGATGTTGTTCTATCAGCTTGCACTGAGCTTTGCTGGAACAATGCAGCAAGCCTGAGATAGAGGTGTTGGCCAGGGAACAGGGTGGTGTTAAAGTGGCAGGCAACTGGAAGCTCAGTCTTTTTTGCAAGCAGAACATAGATGTTCTATGAAGCAATTTCCCCAATGTAGAGGAGACCACATTGTGAGCAGAGAATGCAGTAGACTAGATTGTGGGAAATGCAGGTGAAGTGCTGCTTCACTTGGAAGGTATATTTCGGCCCTTGGATACTGGGGATGGAGGAGGTAAATGGGCAGGTGTTGCACCTTTGCTGATTGCAGGGAAGGTGTCATGGGGCTGTGGGTGATGTTTGGGGGTGAAGGAAGAGTGGGCCAGTGTGTCCTGCAGGGAACGGTCTCTACGGAAGGAGGACCGGGGAGGAGAGGTGAATGTGCCTAGTGGTGGTGTCTCGCTGGAGGTGGTGGAAATGGTGTCTGATCTTCTGGAGGTGGATGCTGGTGGGATTGTAGCTAAGGACAAGGGGAACCCTATCGCTGTTGTGGGAGGGAAAAGTGGGTGAGAGTGGAAGTGCAGGAGATAGGTTGGACCCGGTTGACGGCCCTGTTGACAAGCTTGTCATTACACACTACCATTAGTTACTAACACTTTCCATTAACAGCTATTCATCCTCCTAGCCAGATAGTTATCAACTCCCTTGTCTATCCCACTGTTTGTCCCTCTCTTTGGGCTTTATCCTTTATCCTCTTGTCTCCTCCCTACCCCATCCTCTCTCTTTTCTGCATATAAACCGACGTTTTCCTAGCTACCATCAATTGAGGAAGGGTCACTGGACCCAAAACATTAACTGATTTTTTTTTTTTTTTTCTTCACACATGCTGCCAGACCTGCCGAGCTTTTCCAGCAACATTTTTTTTGTTCCCGATTTATAGCATCCGCAGTTCTGTTTTTTTAAACCAAGTGGAGCATGTTCAAGGGGCTGTATGGTCTACTTCTGTGCTTATTACTAAGTTCTTAGACTTACAACTGAGATGTGTAAGTTTGTGCAGTTGCAGC